AAAAAAAATCGTCAACATTTTGCGGGGCAAGGGCAGTGGCTGGCTTGATTGACAGTCGGCAGCGACGATGCAGACGAAGCGAGCAGAAGGCGGTAAATGTGTGCGGGCAGAGAGGGCCCGCCTCTCAATCCGTCTGACCAATCGCTGCTCCTATGGCTCCGCCCCCCTCCCACGATTTTTGCGTCACTGGCTTCAAAAATCCAAAATGTCAACCAGGAAGTAGCAAAACCCTGGCTTCATTTTGTCAGTGCAGAAACCAACGGGTGACGTCACGGTGGCTACGTCCATCTTTTATACAATCTATGGTTAGCACTTGACAATTCTAACTTTGCATTTGCATGAGCCTCAGATAGTGAGTGAAACCGGAAAGCCACCAGACTCTTCTTAATGCTCCAGAGTTCATCAACAAGACTGCCAGTTAGTGATTAGACAACAGGGAGGTGCACTTGTTTTATGTGACTCTTACCTGCACATTTTGTTTCTGCAGGGTAGCCGGGGAAAGAGCTACCTGATTTGGTTAATGAATGACGATGTGAGGAGCTGGTTAGGGTTTGGGTTAACAAGTCAGCGTGAGCCAGTCAGAGGCAGATGGCTGGGGGTCCTGCCTGTGCCACTGTGTGAAATGAAAATTTACACCCGACCGGTGTGGTCAGCGAACACACCTGTATCTCCATCGCAAAAAACAGCGAGAGGCTCCACCTGGTGGTGCAGAGTTGTCGAATCTATCTGGACATGTGGTGAACATGTTATTCTAAATCAGTAGGTGTGATTCTGCTTCTGATGTGAGGTTTTCACCCAGAATCTGGAACCAGGCTGCAGGGATTCACCCACAAGAGCAGCACTGAGGTCACACACTGATAATGGGTAGTAAGGCCTGGGTCGCAGCATCGTTCCAGCTCGTCCCAGACGTGTTGGACTGGGTTGAGGTCAGGACTTGGTGCAGGCCATACACTGGAAAATGTTCTTTATGGACCTGGTTTGTGTGTTGGGACACAGTGGAGTAGAATCAGGAGATGACCCTCAACGAACTGTCGCCACAAAGCTGAAAACAACACTGCGGTCTAAAAAAAAAGAGTGTATTCTTCAGCATTATCATTTCTCTTCATACGTTTCTACATTTGTGTTGTCTTTGTCTGTTTGATGTGGTAATTTAAAAAAGCAGTCTGGTGTTCATTGTTATCGTCTCTGGTATGATTGATTCATATGCTAATCACTTCTAATTGTGTTTTGTGTTTTTTCATACTATTCAGCAGCAGATAGGCTTTGATTTCATTCAGTGACTCATGTTATTTGTGAAAGAGAATCAATCCTGAACCTGGAAAATATCTCCTCAGATTGCTGATTATGATGTACAATTCAAAACAGCTGACGTCATCAGAGAAAAGCGGGGAAGAGCAAAAGATGTTCCAGAAACTTGAAGGCCCCAAATGATATGATTTTTCAATTTGTTCACATCAGTGCAACCAGGAGGGGAAATAATTCCACTGTGAAAAGGACTCCTCCTGTGAATCCATTAGAAACCAACAGTTAGTCATTAACTTCTCCTGATCCTACGCATCGAGCTTCATAGATAATTAAAAGACATGTGTGTGTGTGTGTGTGTGTGTGTGTGTGTGTGTGCACCAAAGCATCTCATGTCAACCGTTTGTGGCGACTTGCCCAGAAAGCTGTTATTTTTATGAGATGAAGGGAAGCTACCTGGTTCAGATTTAGCTGTTTAGAGCTGTTGTAAGTAAGACTATTGTTGATTCCCTCTAAGTGAACCTTTTTACATCGGTTGCACTGCTGTGCCCGTTTGTCATTTAAATCCATTCAAATTTTCACTTCCTTTTTATTCTCAATAATACATTTCAGTTTGTGTTGCCTTTTTTGCCAGTTCCCATACACACTCGTAATTTCCTAACTAATTATCTAAATTATATATAATTATATATTATCACTGTGCATGCAGTTTAGAGGGGAGAGTGCTGTTTACTGAAGCTACCATTTACCGATGTTCCCTAAATGCCTCAACACTTGACATGCATTAGTAGATGGTACAATTTAATGATCTCTAAACTATTATCTGTCATTTGACCAAGAGAGAAAATTTATTAAATACCATTTAAAAAATAGATTTGATATAAATATATTTAAGATATTTATCCTTAATATGCATGTTGTTGTTTTTTTTTAAACAATTTTAAATAAATAAATAAATAAATAAATAAATAAATAAATAAAAGTTGCTGATTTAAAAATAGTAAAAAAAGAATTTTTTAACGTGTTATTTTACGGTCAAATAAATGCTTTTTAAAAAAATTGATTTTATTAATTATTTCCTTCAATCGAACAAAACAAAAATAAATGATAATAAAATGTAAAACTGTCCTCATTTTATTTTTACAGTATGACTGATTTAGTTGCACCTGACAGGTTTTGGGATGTATGCTGGAGTCCCGTTTGGCGATGGATGACATCATGTATGTAGTACCATGCAGTAACGTGCCTGGATTTTTCCCCACACAATTAGTCTTCTCAGGCATTTACTCTCAGGGTACATCATACAGTTTGTTTACTGTTAGCTGGGCAGGTTAAATGTGCTGTAATTTATGTTTTTGTATTTCCTGTTGGTCAGATGGCAGTGAGTGACATGAAATGTGTTGTACGCAGTGATGAAGCCACAGAAAAGTTATTGATCGATGCTGTAGTTCCTCTTGGCTCTGCGCAGCTTCTTTGTTTTTATGGCGCATATATTTTATTGTAAGTGACAAATCAATGTGAACATCTTTAAAGGAACATTAAACATGGTGTTGTCTCCTTTCTCTGCAGGAAGTGGTGACCCTGCCTACCTGACACCCTGCTTCTCCTGCCGTCCCCCCACCTCTGCCCCCCCACCCCTTGTCCTACCTGGTTCTCCGTGCTGCTGGCGGTGGATTGGAGCACTCTGATTGGAGGCTTTGCGAGGTGGTTTTTCGGTCTGGCGCCGCCTCCCCCCGGGGCCGGTGTGCGCTCCCAGCAGCCAGTGGTGCCCTGCGCCCCCCCCTCCCCGTCACTGCACACCAGAGCCCATGACCAGGGTAAGACCATCCTGATGTGTAGGGCTGGAGCTCATTTTATCATTTTGGTTTTCAAATAGGGAATTTTTGTTCAAAGCTGCAGTTGAGCTTTGTGTGTCTGAACTGTCGTGAAATATGCTTTATCAGAGGCCATCATTCCCTTTGGCTGAATTTTAAAACCCCAATAACAGAATAACTAATATTTACAATTGTTTCAGTGTATTGCATCATGTCACAGCAGTGTTAAGTCAGAACACTACCAAATTTGTACCACAGTGTACGAACAGAGATCAGAATTTTTCGATGGCTGTCAGATTTAGATGAAAGGCAGATCATCGACATGGCTGGAAGGTCAAGGTGCCTTCAGTTTGCTCCCCTTTTAACAACGTATGACAAGAGGCCATTAGTTGTCTGAGTTAATTAAAAGGTTGATTGACTGTTTGAATTGCAGCTGTGGCTCACTGTGTGACCATGGAAACCACCAGCTTCCTTATGTGTTTACATACCAGAACAAAAGCTGCAACTTGTATTGTCTCAATGCTCATCATTACTTCTGTAATTAGTTGTCAGCTGTTAAATTAATCAGCAGCTGGTGTCAGTACGATTAATTGGTTTGGGTATAAAAGGAGTTTTAGGGAAATAAGTGAGAATCCGCTGATTCCTGCTTGTTAACTCTCTGATCTCCAGGCAGTTTCTGGGTGTTTTTTACTCCTGTCACATTGTTCCTTACTGTGGTCTCATTTTTCACTGCAGTAGTCCTGTACCAAAGACAAAATATTTGAGGGTAGATCAAAATAGAATTTGCCTAACTGAGGAAATAATCAACAGAATAATTGGCAATGGAAGTAACTAGTTGCAACCCTAATTTTCACTCAAGTAGAAGATAAAGTAGTCATTAAATTCACTACTTACAGTATAGTATAAAAGTATGTAGAACCTTTAACACGTGAAAACTGTAACTGCAGGGTAACATACCACGACATGGGCTAAAATGCTAACCCTTAATAGCAGAGCCCTCGGCCGTTTTTTCATCCTGCACAATTAAAGATGAATGCCTCCAAAAATGTATACCTTAAGAGGAGGACAGTCACTTTGTTCATTACGTGAAATGGGTGTTTGTAGGATCTCAGAAGTATAGTTTTGATTGCTTGGTAGTTGGTTCACTGTATGATGATAGACAGCTTTATGTCAGAGTGGAGCTGTGAAACAGCAGCATAAAGTCCAGAGGAGTCCTTATTGTCCCCTCCTGTATAAATGTTCTTCCCTCTGCAGGAGGAGGCGCGGTGCGTCCGCCAGGAGCCATGTGCCTCCCTCACACCAACAACATGGACAACAAGCTGCAGGGGGCGGGGCCAGGGGGAGGGGCTTCACTTCAACCACAAGGAGGAGGCGTTCCATTGGAGCCCTTCATACACCAGGTGGGGGGAACAGATTGTGACATCCAGCACCTATAGACAGTATTCCTCTCTCTTGGAGGTGTTCGCCCTTTATTGCTTTCAACATTGGGTTATGGTCTTTTGGCTTTTTTTGACAAGAATTTACAGAAAAGACTCTTTCATGTCAAGGTGAAAACAGATTTCAGTGAGATGTCTTGGTGGCCTTCCTCACTTTTATTTTAATTGCACAATTAATTTTGAAAAGTGATTAAAGGAGAAAACTTCCAAAGGGGTGAACAAGTTTCCTAGGCACTGTGTCTTTTTTTTTTTTAGTAGCAAGTAACCAACACAAATAATAAGAGCATTAATTCCATGTTGTCAGACTATCTGAACACCATTAAGAAATGAGAAGCTCATGATTTCCTTTTCAGAATGTTAAATATTTTACTCTTTGTGTACGTGTGTACGTGTGTACGTGTGTGTGTGTTTGTGTGTTTGTGTGTGTGTGTGTGTGTGTGTGTGTGTGTGTTTGTGTGTGTGCTTACAGGTGGGAGGTCACAGCAGTATGATGCGTTATGACGACCACACAGTGTGTAAACCTCTTATCAGCAGAGAGCAGCGCTTCTATGAGAATCTGCCTCCTGAGATGAAGGAGTTCACCCCAGAGTTTAAAGGTCAGCCACCCCTCACTCACAGTATCACTGCAGCTGCAGCAGCGAACTCCAACTCCTCATACCAACCTCATTTTTGTCCCACAGCTCTATGATGATGAGATGAGCTTAAATACGAAGTCAGTAGATGTAATTGCCTTCATAGAATTGTTTTACAGTAGAATTTGATGAACATGGTCCAGAGTCCAGCGGGGCAGACCCTAACAGAGAGAGAACACAAACACTGGCAGCAGCATGAGGATATCAGTTAATTAGATCAATTAACAAGCTGATGTGGTGGGAAAAGACAGCACTATGATAATAAACAGTGTTCTGAGAGATGCAAAATCACAGAAACTAAAATTTGTTTATACGCTTCAAGGGCAAATTCATTTGAATAAACTGTAGGGCTGTCCCCTAACAGGCAACCAAACATTAGTTAAAGAGTTCATTTGCAAAAACAAATAACTCCATTTTTGTAGATTTTCAGAAAACGTTTTTTTTTTTGTTGTTGTTTGCTTGAGATAATATCAATCAAACTAAAGTTGAGTGGATTTGACTCAGTAGAAATGACAAAAATAGAGATAACTGAAGTTTGATTGATATAGATGATGGAAAAGTGGGTTTTCTGAAGGTTTGTGTAGATGGAGTTATCTGTTTTTGCAAATGAACTCTTCAGTTGACAAGGCGAGCCTTAGTCGACCAAGTTTTAATTTGTGGGTTGATTGCAGGAAAACAAAAGGGAAAAAACCCCTCCTCAAGTAAAGATGCAAATTTAAAATTTTCCTTAACCCATAATTGGCAGCTGTACCTATCAGTAATTGATAACTAGAAATTAACTTGGTGGACATTGTTCCGTGTTCTGATGAAAGTGCTTTGAAGGCGGACATAGACTACACGTCTCAGTTCGTCTGTAAGGCGGGAACTCTGGCTGCTATTAAGAGCTAGTTAAACTCCCACAGTGCTCTCCGTTATACACAGAACTGGTGATGCGCCAGTGTGCAAGTGAACGCCTCCTTGGGTCACTCAGACGTAATACTAGTGGTGCAACCAGGTACTGCAGCTAACCTACAAGACAATATATCAGGACATGCATGTCAAAAATGTAATGTATTTGTAATGTTTAAATATATTCTCATATATTCTAATCAGTCAATCTGTTAACAGCTAATAATTGACTGATGATGAACCCCCACAGCTCAGGCCATTTTCTTTAGTTGGACAGTAGTTAAAGGCCTGCTCAAAATAACTTTTACGCTCTCGGTTCCGTGGCGGATGGAGAGGCAGATTGACAGCAGAGAAGGAAGGAAGTACGGATGTTTAATGGAAGTGAAGTGGCTTAGCGGTTCTGCTCTTTGTCACCAGGCATAGCACTTTTTCAACATGCTTTTGCTTTTGCAACAGACTCAAACAAATGTCAACAGCCAGTGCACGCTCTCACATCTCTTCCTCACCGACATGTATGAGAAGGTATTTTGATGGTGGATGCAGCCTAATGATGGCTCCCTTCCATTTAGCGGTGCCTCTTAAGTCGCAACAGTGAGTCAGCAAACAAAAGCACAACTGCTTCAACACTGAAGCACTTACAAATCCAGTGCAGTCATTGTTATGATATGCTAGTTTCATCCATCTTTGACGTCAAACTGCCTGCCAGGAAAAAGGTCAGGCAGGAAAGTGCTACAAGACATGAGCTGTGTCTCGGTTGAGCATTGCATACTGATTCTAAGCAGATTTTCAATACCAAGTTGGGCCAGGCCGCACGCTGTACCTTAACATGATATGTAGCAAGATGTGACGTCACCTGTTGTTTGCGTTGGAGCCAGTTAGAGGCCCAGAGTTGCAGCTTGGTATTTATTTTTTGTTTGGACCTTCCAGCCAAGAGTGTTGCTTTTCAGACTCTGGAAACTCACAGACACTAACTTACTTGAAACTTCAACCAGTCCACATCTTGGCTAACATTAGTACTTTGTGATAATGGTTGCATGGTTGCCACAGATAAATAAATAAAGAAACACGGTTAGATAAACCTCTTCAACCTGCTTAATGATATGACTGCCAGTTAAGCACAGTGTACAATACTGCAGCTTTAATGCAATAAATCAAACTATCTGCAGCACTTTGTTGTTCTGGAGTACTCATCTAAAGTATTATTTTCGAATGCTGGAGTTTGATTCATGTATTCTGATCCACTTTAGTTTGTTGTCTTTTAATCCCCTCTGGCTGTTGTTGCATATCGTCTGCCACCAAATGTTTTACAATAAAAACCTGCACTTCCCTGGAAGCAGTGCAACCATAGCTAGAAGTACAGAGAGAGCTCAAAATATATTTTGTGCAGTTTGACACAGTTTTATTGCCATAAATAAAATAATGATAATAAAATAAAAGTTCAATTTCTATGATTTAATTTTATTTAATTTTATTAACCTTTATTTATCCAGGAAGTCCCATTGAGATTATAAATCTCTTTTACAAGGGAGACTCGACCAAGGTAGCAGCCATACAAAGTCAAAAAGCTAATATAATGACAACTTGTTTTGTAAAAATTGACAAAACCTGGAATCAACATGTACATGATTCATTCCAACTGCATACAGGTTTACAAATATGAGAATAAAATGGCGACTCTGCGTACTATAGATATAGGAATGTGGGCTTATTCATTTTTACAGAACCTGGTTAGAGCAAATGGTTTATTTTGGGTATGCATATTTTACCATTTACACTTTAGCTTGTTTCCTCTCTCCTCTGTATAAACACAGTCCGCAGTTCAACTGAAAAGTTCCTCAATTTTTGTCGTGTGACTGTTGGTCGTAGCTGAGTCGGTTTCATGGTTGTGCCGAGGAGCCCAGAATTTTAGAGGTTTTTTGTGTTTGTTTATTTATTTGTTTGTTTGTTTACAGATTCTGGTTCGTGCAAATGGTTTATTTTTTTTGGCTAATTTATTTATTTTATTCATTCAACCTTTATTTTGCCAGGTAAGTTATTTGAGAACTGGTCAGGAGGCAGCATACAACAAGATGAACAGCAACAACAGATGACATGTACAGCAACTCACACAATATTACAAAACAAATTAAGCAAAGACTTTTAAAATAGAGAGGCGAAAAACAGGTGCAGTGGTCCTGAAGTGTTGCTTTAATTGATTTTGTAAACAACAGGAGTGGTACATTTTCAAAGAAGATATTTAGTATAAAGGGATTTTGATGAAATATCACAATTTTAAGGTCAGATTTGGAGCTCTAAAAGTTTGGGTGGGTTCAGGAGCCAGAGAGCAGCAGGCAAGCCAACACGGCAGACATCAAAGCCTTCTGTAAGTCCTTAAATCTTATTAACGGAGCAGTGATTTCTAAAATGACCACCAGCACGCATATTAGAGGATGACAAAATTAGCGATTGAGACCATAAGGACTCCTTAAAAACAATTACTGATCTATTTGTGGAGATCTGTTTGAATGGGAGTCAGTTGAAGTAGAGGATTTAGTGGTCACAACAGCACTGCATTTTTAAGGTCGTGCTGAACTGGCGAGAAAGGTCTGGAAAGGCAGAAAGGATGTTAAAGCCCATGGAGAGCTGCAGTGCACTTACTGTGCTTGATTAGACCTTCTTAAATGATGACAGAGTACACATGACTGACACCTCCTTCACTGTCCTGTTAGGTGTCCTGCACCTGTTAGACAAACTACACCTTCATCATTCTTACTAACACACAGGGTTTCGTTTGATTATGTCATTCCCACCACTACTCAAGTCCAACAATCCAGAATAAGTGGAAACACCTGCGAGGGCCTTTAAAGTTAAAGATTGGAAATAGAACAGAAGAACAGCTGGTGTATCTGTTTGCAGGGCCGACAAGACTTGGGCGCAGTCAGAGCTGAATTCAGTTCAGTTAGTCCCTCATAAAGATGCTAAAAATTGATTTAAAAAAATGCCAGTTATCTTGTTTTGTAGACACATGTATTTTTGGGCAGCAGTGACACTTAAAATGTGAAGCAGTGCTATTACTAAAAGCAGGAAAGGTACAGTTTAAGTAGCACTAAGTGAAACCAGCTCTGACATGTCTGTCACAGGGTGAACAGTAAACAGTGAGGATGATATAAATGAGAGAAACTATTAGATAACACTAGACTAAATTCCTGAATTATTTCCTGTGAGTGCTTTGGTAGATATTTTGAACCTATATGATGGACTTCACTGCTAACAATAAAAGCTACAGAGGTTTTTACTGAATGCTGTTAGTGAAAAACACACATCAACAATAATATCAAAAAGTACGTTCGATCATAACTTCAACACTATTTTTGCTTTTTCCATTTGAAGGTGAATCGGTTGTGACTTTCCATATTTAGAGTTTTAACCGGCATCTGAAGCTGCTCATATTGTGTCAGTGTATTATTTGCTCTTAGTATGAAACTGTACAGTAATGAATGTCATTTTCTTGCATACCAAACACACACTTAACTATAAAGCTACCTGAACTGAAAGGTTAAATAGAGTCGTCACACATCTACAACAGGTGTCTGCAACAATAATGTGAAGCTGATGTAGGATGAAACATTTAATACAGACTTATGAAATGGATCCCATTTAACCAACTAATGATGCTCCCTTCAGCCTTGGGTTTAGTGCTGATTAGCAAATGTTAGCATCTAACTCTCCCAACTACTTGTTATTACATTTTATGAAAGTAACACTGGTGATTGTTCAACCAAGCAGGATTAAGTTGAATATTGATTGACCTGGACTCTATAGCGCCCCCATAAATGTATAAACAATACAAACAACAACCAGATTCCAGTGTAAGCTCTTCTGAGAAAAAAATAAGAAAAATCACGCTCATATATTAACTCTGGGCCTTATCTGTTGACACCTACCTTCAAGTGATGGGTGGGATGCTGGTTTAGCTCATAGTCACTGTCTTCTGCTGAGAATGGATCCATGCTTAAGGTCTGAAAGTCTTGTTCATAGCCTGCTATATTATAATTTGATCCAAATTATGATGACACGACAGATTTCCTTCATCCCAAAATTATTCTGCTATGAGCAACAATAAATAAATAAAAATCTTTGATATATTTGATAAAGTAAACAAAGTCTGATATGGACTTTAAAACAGACATTTATTTATAATAAAATGATGTTGTGGATGTTGTTAGTGTGTATATGACCACACTGGACTACCTTACAACATGGTGAATGTAGTCCCAGTACGCTGTGCTGCTGTACGTCTGTATTCCCACCAGTCCACCTTGCTGGTGTTCTGGGCCCCAGTGCCATGACAACAGGCTCCATACGGAGTCTATATTTAGCCCTGGATCTTTGCCCACTACCATTGTCCTGCTGATTAAATAACAGCGGACAGACAGACAGACAGACAGCTGCCCTGGGACACTTCCTGAATCTGTCAAGGTTGTCTCATTCACAAACTGCTCGACATTATCAGATTAAAGTTTCTCCTTGTGTGGAGGTGGTGAAGTTTTCTGTGGACAGTGAGCTCAGTGTGCTGTTCAGGGGAACATTTGATTCTTCAGTCTGGACTTGATATTTGGAGTTGATTTCCCACTAGTGAGCAAGCTGACGGCAAATTACATTTGGACTAACATGGAGAATGTTCAGTGTCTCAATTAGAGAGGATGACATGCTCTGGTCTGTTTATAAGTCTAAAAATAACAGCGTAGGGTTTAAATAAATCATCCTCAGACATTTCTTTCTGCTTATTTAATCTATATAAACAGTTTCTCAATGACGTTTCAGGGGTATATCTTGATGTACAGATGGATGACAAAGGCTGTTCCAACAAGAGCTTTCAGAACCACTTCAATGCAGAGTCTCTAAACCCACCACAAACAACACTTTCCAAAAATGTATTTGGCGTTTTGATGGTGGCTGTTGGAAAAAGTCTGAGCACATCTGGTACCTCCACTGGCAGCCTACTAATGTAATAAGCAGCTCAAGTTATGAGCTATCGCTACAATAGCCTAAATAAGCTGATATTAGCCTTTTCATACACCCTGTGTGAAATATGACTACAACAGATTCAGCTGTAGCTGTTCACAATAACATTTCAGAATGTGAACATTATTATCTTGCAGCAACATTATATGGCTTCACCACACGTAATAAGACTGGATATAATTTGACTCGACACAGCTTGGGTGTCAGTTACAGAGCCGACCTTTAAAAATGCAGTCGTTCTTCCTTTGGTGAGCCAAGCCGCTGTGATGGGGTTGTCACCTTTGTGATGTGATGTTTCTAAAGCTTTTCAGTCTATGGACGACATTCGTCTGTGCCTGTCTTTGTATCTTCACAGCAGAGTTGAACGTTTCTGAACATGCTGTCTGTATTTCACTCCATTCTGTCAGGTGTGGTGCTGGTGTGCTTTGAAGGTGACTCTGATGGCTACATCAACCTGGTTGCTTACCCCTACGTGGAAAGTAACATGGGGGATGGCACAGAAGAGCACGAGGATCGTGATCCTCCAGAGAGGGAGCAGCCGAGGAGGAAACACTCGCGCCGTAGCCTCCATCGCTCTTCCTCCTCCTCCGAACACAAGGAGGAGCGGCCGGACAGGAGGGAGGCTCATGACACCGACACCTCCGATAAGTACGATAAACAGGATTTAACAATAATCAATACTTTTTCATTGAATGACAGAAAATCAATCATGATTTTCCATTGATATTTTGCTGTTTTTTATATCAATATAAAAGTTCTGCTGTCAAATGTGAATAAATAACAAAAACCTTTAAGGAGCCCATATTATGCACATTTAAATATTTATAATTTAATTTTTAGGGTCTGCTAGAATATGTTTACATGTTTTAATGTTCTGTACATTGCTGTAGCAGCTGTTCTCACCCTCTGTCTGAAATGCTCTATTTTAGCGCCTGTCTGTCTATTTTAGCTCTTGTAACACTGGTTACGTATCGTAACACCAGATCTCTGAGAATCAGGACGTAGCTCCAGCAGAAGCAGCTCTAGTGAGGATATACTGACGAACTACGAGACAGTATTTCGTTCTTTGATTGTGTGCCAAACTACCCACTGAGCAACTGTTTTGCAAATGTGTTAGATGGAGACGTTGATGAGCAACAAAAGAAAAGCCTGAACATCAAACAAGATGTTTTAGCAAGAAAGAACAGTGTTTTCTGTGGGAGAGCAGAACTCCCTTTGGTGTGGTTGTAAGTTGGCAGACTTCTTACAAGCAGAAAAAAGCAGCGATATAACACAATGAAGGATGGGGGAATAATCCAAAAGGCAGAATATGGGCTCTTTAAATGCACTGCAGGTGCAGCAGTTAGAGCAGAGAACCACCAGCAGTGTCTTTACAGTGTTGCTGAACCTCTCTCCTCCTCCCTGCAGTCTTGGAGAGTTGAAGAGTCCCAGGCTCGACCCAAAGATCCACTCAGACACTCCCTTCCAGATGCTGGACTGGAACAGTGGTCTGACATCGGAGAAGATCAGCCACAATCCGTGGAGCCTCCGCTGCCACAAACAGCAGCTCAGCCGCATGAGGTCCGAGTCCAAGGACCGCAAACTCTTCAGTATCCTTCCTCAGCCAATCACATTCTCTGATATTTAACATAATATTTATATGGCAAGAACTCTTGTTTTTGTACCTCTGTCTTGATCTTTCACAAGATTTTAGACGAAGATTAATATTCTAAAGATCTGCTGTCAGCTTGACCTAAAAATGAGCATTGGATTAGGTAATATTATGCACAGGTGACCACAGCATGCAATAGCATACATGGAATTTTCCTGCAAAGAGGAATTTTTGGTGCCCACCAAAAGACGTTCTAGCCAACACCAAAGATAAATCACCAGCGGCAAAGTGATAAGAATTCAGCATACAACAGCAATTCAATTTTCTAACTAGTTTTGTTAATCTGAGTTACATGTGCTCAAGCAGAATAGACATTTCTGTGTGTCATTTAAAAAGACAGTGCATAGATTTCTGTCAGACACAGTAATACAGTCTTATGTGGACCAATCAGGCTTACTATCTTGCTGTATCAGGACCCAGTCTGAAGCAGGATACATCCTTCATAAGATGAATGTAGCTCAAAATATATAACACTAGAGTACATCTATCTCAGCTATTGTACATCTAGTTATGGCAGCTAAT